TACTGCGTCGTCGTCGTCGAACCTCGTAGCGGGTTTGGATCGGAGCTACTGTGTCGTCGTCGAACCTGTTGCGGGATTGGATTTTTTTTAATATTGATGTTACTTCAATGAAAGCCGAGGAATGTATTCAGCCTTCAAAGTAGATCATTTCAAGCTTTCATAAAAATAATACTGGTGATGTTTGATGTTTACTGACACCTACACTAAATTCTGTCATAAGTTTGATGCGTACTATGCCTACTGTGTTTCCTATCAACGTTCTATTGGTCTTTGTGTCGATGAGTCAATTTTAATCAAAACCCATCAAACTTTATATTGACATCACGGCGATATACTTCAGCTGCTAAGAAGCACAAGTCCGAGCTTATCGACAAAAAAATGGAGCCAAAGACTTCAGTGGCACCCCAAGAACGATGGAAGCAGCAACGACAACGAAAACTATCCAGAGTGGAAAGAGTGCTTGTTGTCAGTTTCGAAGTTACTGCTGATGGCGACTCTAATCGTCTGGCAACGAAGATTACGGCCAAGTTGGAGCTGGGGCGCTTCGCTTCCGTGGTGCTCTACAAAGCACAATACCGAGGGGAGTGGCTAACTTTACGTAATAAGGCGTATGAACCCTCAGTCGTGGCACGATTCCTGACGAGGTCAAGGCCACAACGGCCAACCCCGACAACAAACTTAAAGGTGACGTGTTACTCCATGACATCATCTCTGACATGACTCTGGACGACATCCAAGTTCTGTTCGAGATCCGCGAATCGCTCACATCTCTGCCAGGTAAATTACTGTCTTGTTGGTAGTCCGATGACTTTGGGCATGCACTAACTCTTCTTCACTGTAGCTGCTCACACCGCACTCGACATGTCGCCAACACTATTGATAGTCTTCTACGTCACGCTGCTATTCGCGCAGCTCTGGGACCCACCCTTGGACTTGGATGTGGGATTCAGCATTTGTTTTCTGTTGGCGCATGTGATGTGAACGTTTGAAATATTGAACTGGGAGCCACAAAGTAAGTTTGTGAGATACCTATTGTTTTTATCTTTTTTTGTCAAATCACTAATTTTTGTTGTGCTGAAGATCGCCACGACAGGATATTACAATCCTCGTGCTGTGCTGTATTTGTACTTGCTACATAATGCTGCAAGAAAGCGACGGTCTCCACGAGATATTGTCTTGTGGGTATTACCATTATTATGGCCCTATGCTTTTCTATCAATAAAAACTGCTACCGGTTATGGTGCAAAGCACGATGCATATCGAGCAGAACATTATAAAAAAGATAAACAAAAATCCAATACTAGTAGTTTTTTTCAAAGTGTATGCACATAGTTCTTTGATTACAGATGCTCTACTTTGTGAAGTGGTCGAACGCTGAGGTTACATGTATTCTACAAACAATTCCTCTACGAGGTTCGACGGCGACGCAGTACCTCCACTTGGACAGTTGGTGCGTCAGGGAGGGCCGAGTCGATCGTGTTCGTCACAGGCGTGGGGCTCTCCACCACTGAGGCGACGTGTTCGATAACACTGTCAACACCACTTTCATCTTGTACCTGGAGGTTATCATCACATCTCTGGCCTGTGAGCAGAGGCTTCGACGGACTTTGCGGGGTCTTGGCGCTTACAATGGCAATTACCATGACGGCCAGTATCAGGATCACTTTCATC